ATTACAAGCATGCACTATTACACCCAGCACAGTTTTTTTTTTTTTAATGCAAAAAAAAAAAAAGCATAAATTTTCTTCGTTTAGAAATAGGAAAATGATATTACCACTGTAGGAAAATGGTAAAGGATGTTAACAAAATTTTAAGAAGGAAGAATAGAGAATAAGTGGCTATAGAAGAATGGAAAACTTTTAATAGTCAGATTAAAGAAGCTCAGCAACCACCAGAATGTGAGATAAGATATTGACTTGAACTTGGAACAAAACTAGAATGGGGCAGAGTCTTATATAGAAGGAAATGCTGTAACAACAAGTCAGTGTGAGCCGGGCATGGTGGCACACACCTGTAATCCCAGCATGAGGGAGGCTGAGGCAGGAGGATTCTTGTGAGATTGAGGCCAGCCTGGCCTACAAAGTGAGCTCAAGGCCAGCCTGAGCTGCGTACAAGACCCTGTCTCAAAAAAAAAAAAAAGTCAATGTGAGGTGACGTGAGGTGGAGATAAGTGATTTGCTCTGTAAAGAGTGGAGAGAGTCGCTTACTGAGTTCAAAACCATCAAAATTACCTTGAGAACGTTCTCTTAAACTCTTTACTTCAGAAGAGTTTTAGATTTATAGAAAAATGAAGAGATCAGAGTCCTACACCACACAACAATATCCTCTATTACTAATAACTTACGTTAATATGATACATTTGTCAAAAATGATAAACGTCGATTAACACATTGTTATTAACCAAAGTCCTTATGTTATTCAGATTCCTCTAGTCTTAACTGCTGCACCTTTTCTGTTTTAGGATCCCATCCAGGATGCCACATAACGTTTATCCACCATGTCTTTTTTTTAGGGTTTTCTTGATTCTGAGACTTTCTCAGACTTTCTTTGTTCTGGATGACCAGCGTTATACTGGCTGTGTATCGGTGGGATGCCTCACTGCTAGAATTTGCCTTCTGTTTATCTCACAATTAGGCCAGGGCTGTGGATGTGGAGGAAGAAGATCACAGTAAATGCTGCTGTCATCACATTTCGAGTACATACCATCAGTATGACTTGATCGCTGTCGGTGTTACCCTTGATCATGTGGAGGGGGCACTCGCCAGGGTTCTCCACAGTACAGTTACTCCCTGCCTTACATAGGAGTTAAGGCTCCTCTTCTTTAGAGCAGAGTATCTACATAAACTGCCTGTAATTCTTCATGGAAGGTTTATCTGTTTCATTTACTTATTCAGTCATTTCTGTAACTATAGACTCGTGTTTATTCTTTGGGCTGTAATCCGACGCTGCTTTACTTACTGTGTTACTCTGATTTTTCTGGCTCTGCCCATGGGACTCCTTTCAGTTGACGTCCACATGTCTCTGACTTGTCCCCCTTTTGTGTTGATATGTTAATGTGTACTGTTTTGAGCACCTTCTTACTTTTTAGCAGTGCAAGATTTTCAGACTTCTCTTGTATACTTTCTGCCTCCCTCCTAGGGTCAGCCGTTTCTCCTAACAACTCTGGTTTCTTTTATGAAAGTACTTGTAACTGCTGTTTTGGATGTTGTCTGTCACAGGGTTTATGTGTTGAAAGGTTGGTCTGCAGTGTGTTGATGTTAGGAAGTGGTATCTTTAACTGGGGAAGACTGTTGAAATTGGTTAGGTGGTTGTGGGTACTACCATCCTTAAAAGGAGTAAAAGTAGCTTTCAAAACAGTGGTTAGAAGAGGTGGACTCATCCCTGAGTTGCCTTCTTGTCTGTCCCACCACTTGATGCCATCTACCTCTACCCCCTCACATATCTGTAACTACCATGCCTTTGATTGTCTAGAACTGATGGGAATAAATCTTTTTCTCTTTCAAGTACCAGCATGAGCTGTTTCATTAAAATAGTGAAAAAATGAACTGTCAGCTTGTTGCATCTGTGCTTAGAGTTCAGGTAAATTTTAATATGTAATCTTTTTCAGCCATCACTAAGTTTGGATGTATTTTGTTCGGCTTTACTCTTTCTTGCTATTGTGGGGACAGAACCCGGGGTCTCATGCATGTTAGACAACACTCTACCAGTGAGTTATCCTCTCCCTCAGTTGCTGTCACCTCTCCTTGTTCTCCTCACTTAATGTTTTAAAAAAAACTTCTACAGTCCAATAAAAAGGAAGCTACCCTTCCCCTATGCCCTAACACTTTGATAGAAATTAACTCTTAAAGAATGAGTACTACCGGGCATGGTGGGGCACGCCTGTAATCCCAGCACTCTGCATGCTGAGGCAGGAGGATCGCTGTGAGTTCCAGACCAGCCTGGGCTACAAAGTGAGTTCAAGGCCAGCCTGAACTGCACAGAGAGACCTTATCTCGAAAAGACAAAAAAAAAAAAAAAAAAGAAAGTACTGATTGCCTCCTAGCTAGCTATGGAGCTGAGTATATCTGTCTGATAACTTGGGAAAGGTTTGCTGACAGACTTTTGTTTTGATCTCTTCTTGCCCAGTCAGTAGAAACTAAAGAATAGTCTCTGTGCTTTCTGAAATTGCCATGAAGAATTTTTCAAGTCAGATCTGAAGTTTCAAGATAGAGTGACTAGAGCAAACAGAATAAAGTGTTCAGAGCTTTGATTCTGGAGGACTATAAAGTGATGATAGTCTTTCTGTAGTTCTTAGAGGAATCCTTTGGTAGACTTTCACTCTCCCATGTATAATCTATACATCATAACCCAAATAGCTTCACAAATTCTTTTTCTGTTCCCTAGAGTTTTCCTTTAGCCACACTGCCAATTAGAGGTTTTTCTTGCCCTATTGTGCAAATGGTCTATCAGTAGTCGTCTGTCTCTGTAAGTCAAAGCCCTCTCCCACTGAAGATCCAAACTACAGCAGTGTTACAGTATGTCTGTGCTTTCACTGTCTGATGGCTTGTTGCTAGTGTGTGGATTGATAAATTTCATATATTGCCTACACAGTCTGTGTCCAACCTCTGTTCTGTTGGTACTTGGTAACAGCTCCGTTTTACTGCTTTGGCTTAGTCTGCTTGGGTGATCCTCTCAACTGAAGATGAGACCTGCTTCATTCTTCTTTTTCAAGCTCTATGTTCCTTTCTTTCTTTCTCTTTCTCTTTGTTTCTTTGTCTTATTGAACTAACCAGTGTTGAATAGAAATGGTAACCAGATGATATCTCATTGTCAGTATTAGAAGAGAAGGCTTTCAAGTTTTCTTGCAGTTCTGGTTTGCAAAGATGTTTATTATTTATGGATATCGAGTGTTATCAAACAGTGTTTCTTTCCTGAGTGATCTTTTTTTGGTTTGTTTTAATTAATACAGTAATTGTATAGATTGATGAAGCTAGCTTTGCATTTCACAGGCAAATCCCTCTTGGTCGTGGTGCAGTATCTTTTCTGTATATAGTTGGATTTGTTTTACTAATGTTTTGTTGAATTGGTTTTTTTAATAATTACAAGCTGTAATTAGTGTGTAGTTTTCTATTCTGCTTTGGTTACAAGGGTAATGGTGGCCTCATAAAATGTGTCCCTGTCTCTTCTTCAGGAGAGTTTGTAGAATAGGCCCTGTTTCTGTATTTAATGTTTTATAGGCTTCATCTGGACCTGGAGTTTGTCTTTACTATGAATTTAACTTCTTTAATAGATGTAAGGCTTTTGAAGATGTCTTTTCTGCAGTGAGTTTTGGTGGCATGTGCCTTTTGAGGAATTTGTCTATTTCATTTATGGAATTTATTGTATAAAGTTGTTAATAAATTTCTGTGGCATTGCTTTTTTCTCTTTTTTTTTTTTTATCCTTTTTTCATTGCTGGGGATTGAACCTCAGGGCGTCACACATGGTAGACAAATGCTTTACTAAACTATATGCCTAGACCTTATGAGAGTTTTAATGTTGTACTATATTGTAATTGGACTCTGTCCCTATCACTACACTATAGTTTTGGTAATTCAGCCCAGTGCATTTAAGGCATTTTTGTTTTTAGAACCATGGAAAATTTGAAGACCATAGCAGATTTTATTAATACTTTGCTGAGGGTGTCTGAGCTTAATAATTTAGATACTAGAGTGACAGCTTATTTAGACATGTGATACCATTTATAGAAAATGATAGCACAACAGAATTGAAAGGCTCGTTAGTCATTCTGCCTGCTGTTGTGGTCCCAGTGATGTTCCTCTTGGCCAGGAGCCTCAGTTTAATCTAGTACTGTATAGCTTTCTATGACTGCAGAAATATATATCTCCACTGTATGGTACAGTCATTGCTTTTAATTTAATCTAATTTTAATTAATTTAAGTAGCTGTGTGTACTATTAGATCTTTAGAGCAAAATGGGTCCAGCCTCATAGCTTCCTTTTTTATATGTGAAACCTCCTTCTGGGATTTTTTCTGGATCTCTGCATAAGCTTGTCATAGCATAAGCTTCTGGGAGGAACTCTAAGCTATTGAGTCAGCTTACGGAGTAAGAGAGAGAAGCCTGAACAAGTTGGAAAGAAAATGATGCATAAAGTGATCATTACAGTTAGTGCATGATAGTAATATCACTGAGTAAGTTGAGAAAGTTTTAAATGCCTGGCATGTTTAATGAAGGAAAGGAACTTAGACTCCAGGGATTTTTGAGTAAGGAGGAAGACCTCAATAAGTTAGAAGTTGTAAATTTACTGATCAAACCCATCAGCTTATTGGGTGAATCTTTAGAAACTACCTTTAGATCAACAGAGAACTACAAAGAAAATTATTTGGAGAGTCCATCTCCATATCCATGCTGAAACAAGAAACTCTTTGCCACTGCTTCTACTTCCACTGCTTCTGGATATTGAAAGCTGCAGATGCTACTAGGCAAGGGAAGGTGTAAAGAAGTGTTTATAACAGTGAACTGGATCAAAAACATTTCATTGAAACCTCAAATCATGGATTAAGTTGTCCTAAGAAAATAAGTTATCTTATAGAGACATAGCAATAACAAAATTATACTAATTGTGGCATGTAACTATAGGTGAGAGTCTGTTGTGTATGATACAAACGACCCCTACCTGTCTTTTCTTTACAGATCCAGGATGAGAAGACTGAATAAAGAAGAAGCTAGCTGAACAGCTATAAAATGCCCAAACCTGGGTTCACAAAAGCAATTCAGAGTGAAAATTCTGACAGTGACAGCAATATGGTAGAGAAACCATATGGAAGAAAGGTATAAGACTAAAGTTTTTTGTGTGTTTTCGGAACTGGGAAAGCAATACGCAGTTTAGTATTTTCAGTAATTACTCAAAATAAAAGGCAACATGGGGGGCTGGGGATTTAGCTCAGCGGCAAAGCGGCTGCCTGGCAAGCGCAAGGTCGTGAGTTCGGTTCCTGGTACCGGAGAAAAACCAAAAAAATAAATAAGTAAATAAATAAAAAGGCAACATGGATGCCAGATATGTTCGCTGTCATTACTGTAACAAATACCTGAGATAACTTACGAAGAGGAAGGGCTTATTTTCATTGACATTATGGAAAGTTTCAGGCTTCTGGCCTTCAGCAAAGCAGAGCATCAGCTCAGGGAGATGCAGACTCGTTCACCTCTTGGCCTGGGAGTGAAGCAGAGAGATGAGAAGGGCTAGTTCCCACTGTTCCTTTGAGAGCGCACTCGCAGTTACCTAAGATCCCAGCTCGGCCCCACTTAAAGGTTCTGCCCGCTCCTAATAGTCACTCCTAATAGCCTTTAGCACGGGCGCCTTCGGGGGACATTCTAGATCTAGACTAAAGCACCAGGTAAATCCAAACCATTTATTTACACCCTTCAGAAATCAATTGGGTTCCAGAGGATACAGTTCTTCTCCACTCCCTCAGATGTTCATAATTACTAAGTGAGACACAACTACTAAGCTGGCACCATCAGGGAGTAATCATTGAGAGGGATCAAAACACTCCAAGATGTTGCAGTCATTTGGCATTTCTTCCCCTACTTCCTAGTGGCAAAACACGCACGTAGTAGTTACTTCATTTTCCAAGTCTGAACCCTGTGGGTAGACATAATTTGTACATCCTCGGTATCTCCATAATAGAAGACAGTAGTGCCTTAAAGAATTGCTGCAGAGAAATGGCATATTGCTCTCATAGTATGTGCTCAGTAAGGATCAACAGTTTCTGTTGTTATTAATCATTCCTAGTGACCCTTGACCCATGTTACCCTATCTTTCTCCATTCCTGTTAAAACAGAACCTTGATTTGGACTTCTACAGTTGTCTCCTAACTTATCTCAGTGTCTCTATTCTTTCCTTATTTGTTGTTGTACATATATTTGAACTTTTTGGTTCTTTAAAAACATTTTTAAAAAGCCATTGTTTATTGAAGGGTGTTGGAGGTGTTCCCAGTTTGTAGCTGACAGATCTGTGCAGCCAGTATCATAGCCAGCTTTGGAGCGTCTCTCTCCCTGTGAGGAGACCTTGTTGCCCATTTGCAGTTGGCACCATTCATGCACCACTTCTAGGCAGCCCCAGACCTGCTTTAAAATCCAAGAAGGGTAAGTTTTCCAGTTGTGTTCTCTTCTAAACTATTCCAGACTCAGGGTCCTTGTTATGGCCATGCACATTTTACGGTTAGTTTGTCAGGTTTTGTAAAAATAGCAGATCGGCAAGGAATTCCTGCTAGGATTTAGATAGGAATTTTATTGAATCTGTAACTCATTTTGTGTAGTGTTGCTGTCCTAGCAGTATAGTCTTCCAATGCACAATGGACTTGCTCCCCACTTACTTATTTTTCAGTCTTCCCAAGTGATGCTCAGTAGTTCTCAGTGTACAGATCTTTTGCTTCTATGTTTAGATCATTCATAAACTTTTTCTGTTTTTGTTTTGATTTTGTTTTTGGGACAAGAGTCTTGCTCTGTCTCAGGCTGGTCTTGAACTCATTATGTAGCCCAGGCTGGCCTCAAACTTGTTTTGATCCTCCTGCCTCAGCTTCCCAAGTGCTGGGATTACAGGTGTATGCCACCATACCTGAATGTTTTTCTTTTTTTATTGGAATTTTTTTTTTTTTTTTAAACCAGGAATTGAACTCAGGGCCTCTTGCTTGCTAGGCACATGCTGTGCTGCTGAGCTACATCCCAGCCCTGAAATAATTTTTAAAGTATTAGAAATCTCACAAAAAACTTGTGTTCACATAATAATTGCAAAGATGACTTTATTTTACATGGGACATAACAAGTCCTTGGAGAACATAATTGATAGTCTTGTGAATGTTTTCTATAGAAAGCCTTTCTGGACCTCATTGTGGTCCAGAAAAGTCTACATTTGTAATCCCATGAAAAAGTTACTGGAATTGTAATAAGTTAATTTCAGTCTACCACTTCCAGTGCAACCCATGGCGAGAATAAAGACACTAAGGCATATTTGTGGTTGTAGGGAGCCACAGGGGTCCTAAGTCCAGTCAGAATAATGGCTAACCAGAACAAAGGCCTCGACCCAGGCCCAAAGCAGATTTTATTAATTCATAAAGAGGGGAGCTGCTCAGGATGAGTGACTGTGAGAATGGCGGGAAGTACTTGGGCAGCAAGTGTGTGAGTGCTGTGAACTGGGCTAGGAAGGAGGCCTGAAATCACCTCTGCGATATGCAGAGAGAGAGATGCAGAAAGAGTAATCTGTATATTACGGGTTGGAGCAATATGTAGTGTTTTGGGGTTGGTGCTTCTGCTTTGCTTAATTTTTCAGGCCCTGAGAAGTCATAGCCTCTTTTCTTGAGGCTCATTCTCAACCAGCAGCGTGGGACACAGCCTAGCTCACGCATACTACTCTGGAGCTACAGGGCTTCACGGCCCTGCCGCCATTGCTTTAATGACTACACATCAGCACCTCTCTAGATCAATTTGCCTTGCATAAAACCACTTGAGGGATAAAGACAGAACTTAGCCGGCTCTGCACACATCAACACACGGAAATAGGGCCAAGTTTAGCCAAAAGGGAGATGAGTGCTCTTCATTGAAGGAGAGTCTTCCAGGTGATCCTCCACAGCTTTCCATTTAACATGTCACCTGGTCTCTTCTAACTCACATGGCACTGAATAGCATATTACATGGCTGCGTGGGAGAACGGGCATTTTGGGGTTTTCAAAAGGTCTTTTACATTCCTAACAGAGGTTCTTTTCTAAGGCAAGACTTCGTTGCCCTGTCTGCAGATGTCCCCAACTTAATGATGGCTCAGCTCAGAGTCTTTGATTTTATAGTAGTGCATAAGCGTGCCTGTACAGTAATTGCCTCTCCATACAGTAGTCAGTAAATTACCTGAGACAGTCAGCATTTCACTATAAAAGGGCTTTATGTGAGATGGTTCTGCCCGATTACAGGTGAATGGAAGTGTACTGAGCAGGTTAAGGTAGTAGGCTAAGCCAAGTGATGACGTTTGGTAGGTTAAGCATATTAAATCTTTTCCCAGCTTACAATAATTTTGATTTATGATGGGTTGATTGGGACCTACCCCAGTGTAAGTTCAGGAGCATTTATATAGTCATGCTTTTGTATTACTTGTATTTCTAATGCTTTGACATCTGTGTCTTAGCTGGTCCTTGAGATACTATGTTGCTGTATAGCCCGTTTCTGTCTAGGGTAACAAGTCCCAAGAGCGAGGTGCCCACAGATGAAAAGAAAAACAAGAGAGCCAAAATTATGGGATCAGGGGCTTCAGCCTCTCGGACTGATGCTCCATTACCATTTTCCATAAGCTTTTATTGAGAAAGAACAAAGGCAGCAGCAAATGGGAGGAATCATCAGGATTAGCGAGGACAACACAACTTAGTTATCACAGGAATGAGACTTGACTTAGCCATCATGTCATTCCTTCAGGCATATCTCAGCAAAGCATCTAGTGCTGTCTCGAGGCTTTCCACAGGGACAGAGGTCCTGCTATCCCTCCCTTTTATACCAATGCTTTTGCCAGACTTCCTCCAGAATCAAACAGTCATATGGCTGGGTCAGACCCAAAGTCCCAAATAGGTAATGCATTGAAAGATAAACTAAAGAATGTCCTTCTCCACAACACTACTGTCCCTTCCCAGAGCTAGCAGTTCCTAGGGACAGTGAACAACTTGTGAGCACGCTTTCTGTATGCAGACTATATCCAGAGCCCACACCCCAGCCACTAATTTATTGTCCCTCCTCACACTTGGGACAGAGTGGACAATTGGATAAACACCCGCTCTGTCCCATTGATACAGAGGGAAGAAACTGCCAACCTGCTAGATGTCTGGTGTGAGTTTGTATTCTCTAAAACCAAAGAATGAATTTTAGGAATAGCAGAGGTTAAGAGCAGAATATATTTACTGAGGTAAAGAAAGCTGCTGTCTGGCAGAGAGACAGATGGGGTCCCAAATGGGTTACCAAGGACCCTGCCTTTTCTAGGGATTTTTACAGGGCAAAAACCATGAGGTGAGGCTGGTCCAAGGTGGTACACAAGGGAAATCTCCAGGATGGGCATGAGGTGGGACAAAACTGTGGTCAGCCAGTAAGATTGTGAGTATAATTGCTCAGGTAAAATTGATTAAATCAGGATCAAATGGGAAAGCAAGTTACTTAGCAAGCCGGCATGAATACAGAACAGGGGCTTTTTCTGTAGGGGGTTGGGTTAGTGACTCTTCCTGACTTTCTCAAGGTGATAGATACTTACTTAGCTATCAGTCTCTGACGTTTATCCTTAGGAAATATGTGAGTGCATTTGTTTTATCTTTTGTGCTGAGGTCTGGCCCACAGTGGAGGTGCCTGTCTCCCCCACAGTTACAAGGCATCTTGCCTTCTGCACTGGCTCCTTTAAGGGCCCAGCCTATCTGACTGCCTATAATATTTCTGTCTAACTCAGTTGCTTACACCATTGCCCTTTGTCTTATGGAAAGTAGATAATTCTAAGCCTGCTTGTCCTGCCTCTCCATTGTTTCCTGCAAAACCACAATGACAGCTTTCTCCACATTTCTGCCCTCTCCCCCTTGAGGGACTCGCTTCTCTGTGTGGTGTCTTCTCAGTGGCAGTCATCCCCTCATCTGTTTACCCCATCATACCTGAGTAATAATAAAACCTCATTTAAAAATACCCTTGTAAGCAAAACACTTAACCATAAAGCTTTATTTGGTTGACAGAAATGAAAAAATAACCCAAGGTTTTTACTTTAGAGCTTGGGCGTAAATGATATGGCACTTTTATTTTTCAGTAATATGTATCAGTTAATAGATAAGGCAGTCCCATTCTCTTTCTAGTTTGCAAATAAATTTATCATGAATGAGTGAATACAGACTTTAAGATGTTTTTCTTGTCACCTATTAAGGTCATTATGTGGTTTTTCTTTAATCTTACCTTGCTTGGTTGTGGTCTGCTATTTTCTAAAATACTGAATTTGATGTGATTGTTTCGGATTTTTACATTTATATTCATACATGGATTTCATTTGTAATCTGTCTTGTGCTGTTTGATATCAGTTTAATTTAGACTTATGAGATGGATTGGGAGGCTTCTAAATGTTATTTCTTTGTTGTAATGTTTATATGAAATGGGAAATATTTGTTCTTTGAATTGTTTTAAAAATTCCTATAAAATCCTTGGGGTACATGCCTTTCTAAATTTTTGGTCATGGGTTTGTTATCTTATAGTCTGCCAAGGCTTTTTCCCCCTCTTCATAAGCCAGTTTTTAGTGAAGCATGTTTTCTAAGAAAATTAGTATTTTTCCAGCCCTTAAGAATTTTTAATGGTATAAAGATGAAACAACATTCTTTTATAACTTCCTGATACTCCCTCTGGAGTTGTATTTCAGTTCAGTTCCAGTTGTTGTCACTTTATTCTTATTTTCGTGATTAAACTTGCCATAAATTTATTTGATTGGTGTTGTAGAATCACTTTTGCTTTTATTTTTATTTATTTTTATTTTCTTTGGTACTGGGAATTGAGCTCAGGACTTTGTGCTTGGCGTTTGTGCCCCTGGGCTGTGTCCCTGGTTCCACCTTTGCTTTTATTGATGGAGTCTACGTCTTTGAAAAATAGAGTGCATTTCTTCTTCCCTTCTTCCTTCGTTTTTCAGCTTGGGTTGAAAGCTAGGTCCTTTAGAATATGCATCTACTTTTAAGTTGCTTTGAGACTGCAGTTATGATAAATATTATCTTGGTTTAGAGAATATTCTTTTAAGCTCTACTGCTAAGATATTGTGACTTCATTCTTAGCATCAAGCTCATTTTTCAAAGGAGTTGTCATAGCCCAGTTTAGATGTGTTGTACCAGTTGGATGGTAGGTTAATAGCTGCAGACCGTGAGAACAGGTACGATTCTTCACCTGACTGAATGAGTGCATGTTTTTATTTGCTATATTTTCATTTTCCAAATCAAATTAGAAATGTATCCATGTGCCTCTGATATAAGAAGTGGAATTTGAATCTTTTACTGTACTGAACAGATTATCCTTTAGTTCCTGTGATTCTGGTATATTTACATCTTTATTGATAGAAGTAGGGATTCTCAAACTTAAGCATGGAAGAACCAGCAGTTCTAATTCAGTAAGTCTGGGATGGAGCCTAAGAATTTGCATTTCTAGGAAGTTCGCAGGTACTAATACTGCTATCTGTTACCTCTTAGGACTTCTGGTGGAGCTGAAAATAGTGGCCTGTATCCCAGTACTTGGGAGGCCAGGGCTGGAGGATTGCAAGTTTCAGTCCCACTTGGACAACTTAACAAGATGTTGTCTCAAAATAAAAAATGATATGCAGCTCAGTGTGCAGGGTCTGGGTCTAAGCCCCTGTCCTACTGCAAAATAAAAACAATCAAAAACAAACTTGTAGGGTAGGTACTTGCTTAGCCAGGTATATGCAAAGGATTAGATCCAAGACCTTCCCATACCAAAGCTCCACAGATATTCAGTCCTCTTATACAAAATGGTGTAATACTGGCTGCAACTTGCCTTTAAATTATCTCTAGATCACCTATAACATGTAGTAATGCGAGTGCTGTGTAAATAGTTGTATTTTACTTTTGAGGAAATAATGACAAAAAACTACACATGCTTACTACAGGCACAGTTTGTTTTCAGATACTTTCAGTGCATGGTTTGTGGAATTTGTGGATGCAGAATCCAAGGATAAAAAGGGTCAAGTATAGCTGGGTGTGGTGGCACACGCCTGTAATTCCAGCACTTGGGAGACTGAGGCGGGGAGGATCACTGCCAGTTTGATGTCAGTCTGGGCTACATAGTGAATTCAAGGCCAGCCTGGACTTCTTAGCAAGACCCTGTCCTTAAAAAATAAAATGGGGCCGGGGATTTAGCTTAGTGGCACAGCACCTGCCTGGCAAGCACAAGCTCCTGAGTTCGATTCCCAGTAATTAATTAATCAATCAATCAATCAATAAATGTCAACTATATATTTTTAATAAATAAATAAATGTCAGCTATATATTTTTAATAAAGCATAGTCTTCAACCCAGAATTGCACTTTCAGAATACTATATATTTATTAATTCTGATACATCTAGATTATACTCAACCATGTAGTAAGTATTGTTATATTGAAGATACGTTACTTTAGTGTTATTTTAAAATTCTGCTACTAAGTAAAAGTGGGAAAACGGAACAAGTTGGCGGAAATGTTATTGTTGTAAGCAGGTCTTGAGCAAGTGAATATAATGATGGTTTGTAATACCCTTCTCTATTTTTGTCTGTTTGAAAATTTTCTTAATAAGGCATTTTTAAGTACCATACTGCTTAGCTAATATTTGTATGGCTTTATTCCTATTTGATTTTCTTAATAGAGTAAAGATAAGATTGCATCCTACAGCAAAACTCAAAAAATTGATCGAAGCGATGTGGGCAAGGAAATAAAAGAGAAATCATCCATGAAACGTAAACTTCCTTTTACCATTAGCCCAACAAGGAATGAAGAACGAGATTCAGACACAGGTAGAGTAATCTTTTATTTTCTGGTAGACTCTTAATGATCTTCATACTGTAGTTTTCCTTTCTCCTTTCATATACACTGTTTCTCTTGACACTCCATCTTACAGATAAATATTCATATTTTAGTACTTTAGTATTTCAAAGTTAACATTTATTTGATGTCTAACCAGAGATAAACGAAAACAATTTGCTTTGTTCCTTATTCTCTTCATGTTTATTACAAATTTTTTACCAATTTCAGAACTTAATTTTTGGGGGGAACATTCCAGTAATGATAATTTACTCAGTAGAAAGAATCACTAGGATATGGTAGATTTGAGAAAAAGTTGGGTTATTATGGATCTGTTGGGCATACCAAAGAAGTTTAGGCATTTTCTTAGAAATGAATTAGAGGGGCTGGGGATTTAGCTCAGCGGCAAAGCGCCTGCCTGGCAAGCGCAAGGTCGTGAGTTCAGTTCCTGGTACCGGAGAAAAACCAAAAAAAAAAAAACAAAAAAAAAAAAAGAAATGAATTAGAAATGTAGGGGGCATGCTTAACTGACAACAGCTTCAGTGCATTCAAAATGCTTTTATTTCTCTAGTCTTTATAGCATTAGCTGAAATGTGAGATCAGTCAATCCCTAGTTACTCATAAAAGATGAATTCTTACTGCTGTCTAAATTTACTAATAATGAACCCTGAACTAATTATTTCTTGAAACTGACAGACTTGAATAATAAGTATTTGTCGCAGTTGTTCTGTTCTTTGCATGAAATAATACTAAACTTTCCTTTGAATGTTTTAATTTTCCCCACAGAAAGTTAGCATTGCATTCTGAGCTTATGTGATTTTTAATATAAGCATTCATTAGATAGGCCTCCTGTTGTGTGTTTTCCTCTGAGTTGAAAATTGTTCTTAAACATTCATGACATTTTTAATCTTCCAAGACTCTTGCAGTGATTAAGAAATTAGATACTCTGTTCATTTTAAATTACACTGTTTTATTTAAGAGACTTTTTAAAATTAAGTATGGTTCTCCTTATCTTTGTGATATGCTGAAGCTATTTCTAGGTCATTTAGCTGAGAAGGAGGTAATTACAGTCATCATGTGCCAGAGATACAACGGTAGGTCCCATAAGTTACATTACCTAGTGATGTTGTAGTCATCTTGGTCTGTGAGGGTCTATTCTGTGATGTTTGTACAACATGGGAACCGCAGGATAACACATTCATTAGGACATACTCTCATCATTAAGTGATGCATACCTGTGTGTGGTTTTAGATACTTGTTTTAAGAGGTAACTCATATTTTCTCCTTGGAAGTCCCTTTGCTGTTCCTTTTTTTTTTTTTTTTTTTTTTTTTTTTGGTGCTGGGAATCCAACTGAGGACCTTGCACCTGCCAGGCAGGCATTTGCTGTTCATTTTTAAATTACATTACCCAGATTTTATTTTCCAGTGACAGTGATAACTTCTCAAAGAAGGCATTTTGATAAACTGGATCATTAGCATTTCTTGGGAATAAAGTTTCAAAAAAAATTTCTGTGACCCTTTGTCATTATTTCAGATACTTTCTCTTTTACTTAGAGTAAAATTAAGGAGAAAAATGTTACTAAGGAAGACATGGATGTAGGCACTGAATAAACATAATGTAATTAGTATTTTAACAATTAGATTGTGTTTTTTCCCCCCTGATAAAATTTTTTTCACCACAGGCACTTAGTGGCATATTATGGCTTTCATTCTTTAAGAATATTTCTCTTTCTTGAGAATATTAACAAGCCATCACGAAACTTTTGGTGGATTTAAGACATATATTTTTTTTAGGCCCAATTTATATATTATTAAATAATAGGTGAAGACTTTGGTATGCAATCAAAACAAAGAATATCTGTAGGCCCAAATCAGAATGTGTTGTTTACAATTTAACTTTTATTTTTATTATTAAAAACAATGAAATAGAATCCAGGATACATTGTGATCTGTTCCATATGAAAGATAATTATAGTATCAGACTCCCTATTTGGCATTGATCTATTTTTAGTAGAGTATATTCTAAACTAATAGCCAAAACAGTGATAAAGACATAGAGGAAGTATCTGCAACATATATGGCAATTCTTAATATGGGTAATAAAGGTTTCTTAAAAGTGAAAAGAAAAAACAAAAATGAGAAATGGACAAAAGATATGTATCAGTTCTTTCAGAAGAACAGAATCACAGATGGCAAAGAAATGTGAAAGAATATGTCAATGATAAATAAAATATATATATTGATTGACTAAATTATTGGTTAAGTCATACGTAGTAGTCATGAGTTATAGATAGGAATTTGCTATAATTTTCTAAGTTACAGGACTACCTTTTAAATAAGTAAATGGCAAGAATAGCTAACATATATCCCAAACTAAGTTTCTTACCATTTGGCCTTCTTTGAGCATTTAGTTTTTATAAATAATTATTGATTAGAGCAAAAATTTATATTGAAGAATGTTTATGTCAGCTTATAGCAAAATTCCCCCTTCATTCACAGAACCAGGGAAATAGTGTCATGTAGTAAAGGTAAATTAAAGTATAGTAAATCCAGTGAGGAAATGTGATTTTCACTTTTGAAAGTGAAATTATAGAATACATGATGTGGAAAGATGTTCAGGTATTGGAAGTGAAAAACTAGGTTGCACAAACAATGCATGCTGTTTCATTGCATTAAATTGTAATTTATGTGTTTATATGTGTATTCACAACATATTAAAGATAAAATTGTTTAAATATAAAACTTTCTCACTATAGGAACTAAATCTACACTTATTTTGTTTTGGACCCAAAACAGATGAACTAAATATTATAAATCCTGACTTGGTAAAGTAAAAGGATGGGATGGAGAAATGAGGAAGTGTTAATGCAACTCAGCTCTTCCTCACTTACAGCAAGGTGTTCACTGATACTGTGTAACTGAAATGTGTGGTTTTAAAAAGTGATTAGCTGGGCACGGTGACACACGTCTGTAATCCCTGCACTCTGGAGGCTGAGGCAGGAGGATGGTTGCACGTTTGAGTCCAGCCTGGGCTATATAGTGAATTCAAGGCCAGCCTGCACTACATAGTGAAACCCTGTCTCAAAAAAAAAGTAATTAGCCAGTGATATAGCTCAGTGGCACAAGCCCCTGCCTGGCAAGTATAAGGTCCTGAGTTTGATTCCCGGCACCGCAAAAAAAAAGGTAATTAAATATTCTGACATGTTTATATTTTAGTATATGCTATCTCTTATAGAGAAAAGGCAGTTCCTTTAGTTTCTTTTTTAATGTTACATTAAAATAAAATTAATCTTAAAGCTTTTTTAATTTTATAATAGCTTTTATGTGTTTTTTTCCTTTTCTCACATAAATTTATTTCTTATTTCTGCCAGTTCTTCTGTCTTTATATATTTAGAGAGATGTTTGGCATAGTATTCAACAGATGTTAATATGTTTATTTCCAAAGTTTGGAACATTTGTTAGTACTTCATTCTTTGTACCTTTCTATATACCTAGAATTGTAAAATAATACATATTATTTTCACAAAATAAAGTCATTATTCTTTAAAGGTATTCATGTCATTCTTCAAGCAAAGCCCAGCAGTTCCTAAAATCAGCAGTAATGCTGTCAATTAGATGAGGGCGTGTTAGTCTTCATTTTTGATAGCCGGGTAGAGTGGTGGCACAGTGCCGCAGGGGGCTGTTTGTGTCATTGAGAACTAACTGGCTCACCATCCCTGACCTGATGTGACCTAAACCACTTAACCGTTTACCCTTGAGTGTTATTCAGGTAGCCAGTGTTACTCAGGTAGCACATTTGTTTACACACTGGCTATCCCGAGAGTTGCTTGGGCAGCTGTCATTTTAACCAGTCATTTCTTGTTTATGCAAGAGACACTTGTCAGTCTGTTTCATATTGACTATTTTGTGCATTCCCTTTTATTTAGAATATTATATTCATCTTTGATGTTTGTTTCTGGTGAAATCTAGTAAGTTGTGGTTACTTTCTTCTTCTAATTTGTATTTATTTTACTTGTGAAAAATAACCTATAATGTTGTGCTACTGTCTGTGAAAACTCTTATCATAAGTACATTAAGGGCCAGGGATATAGCTCAGCAGCAGAAGTGCCTGCCTGGCAAGCGCAAGGTCCTGAGTTCAATTCCTGGTACCAAAAACAAACAAACAAAAAAACCTGTAAGTACATGAGACATAATTTTTATACTTTTCCAGAACTGAGTGATGTTCTTTTACAATACAAAACAGACACATTTGGGAGACAGTGAACAGGAAGAAGGTGCCAAAAGTTTGCAAAAGAAAAACTGAAAAAGGGAGAAATGTTAGCATATCAGAGAGGGAAAGTGTGTGTTATGAAATGGAAAGACAGAAGACTTCTCCTTATTGTCAACTGTTCGTAGTGCAGAAATGATAGAGCTTGAAAGAAAACTAAAAAGATTCTAGTAGTGTTCAGTGATTATAATAGTTCTATGAGTGGTGTTGACAGTTGACCAACATCTAACAAGCTGTCTTGTAATCAAAAAGCAAGGAAGAGAACGTGATTATAAAATATGTATGCACCTTCTGGACCAACAATATGGAGCTCATTTCTTGTTCAAAAAAGGGGTTCAGAAAGTCATTTATAATTTAGATCCAATAGACCAAGTAATTGGAAAATACGGGATAGTGAAATGCCAACCAGGATGTCCATCTGCACCATTACATTTAGGGGTGGACATTTTATTGAAATTACACTTCACACAGAAAAAGGGAAGACCAACACGACAGTGTGGTATGCTGTTCAAAGATGATAATGCACAGAATTCAGGAGACCGATACCACTGTCCAGACTGACATTATGTTCATTTTGCGATGTACTATAGACAGAAAAATTACTGAATTTGATAAAAATGTCATTTTTATGTTCCCCTTTTTTTAGAAAAATGAACCCCAAAAGTGCAGTTTTTGGTTGCCCTGTATTTAAATAATTGGACTGGTAAGTGGTTATCCAGTTCAATTATTTAATACTTACTAATTTTTTTTTCTGGGTTTTTTCCGGCACCGGGAATTGAACTCACGACCTTGCACTTGCTAGGCAGGCACTGTGCCGCTGAGCTAAATCCCCAGCCCCTTACTAATTGTTTTTAAAGATAACACTGTGTAGAAAAGTGATTGGTTGGCTCTATAGATAAAAGTTGGGAACTAATTATAGCATAATTGGAAGTCATGGCAATGGGTCCGTGTAGCTGCATCATAATACTGCCTTCTGAGTTGTTTTTCAGAAACTGCCAACATACATGTTTACATCAGTCTCGTATCTGTTCCATGTTGTGCTGTCCTTTTAGAGAATTCCTATAACTATAGGATGTTAAGAAGCCAGTAGAAGCAGTGGTGATCCATTGAACCCATTAAGCCCAAAAGCAAGTACTTATCTGGAAGATACTTTGTACATCTAATTAGTATCTTGCTTTATCACTTATTTTTAGTTCTCTAAGTTTACCTTGAAACTCTCCTACTCTAGGATCTTGATCAGATAAGTTATTATAGTTATAGCACAAGCAATAGCATAGTGCTTATCATCAAAGATTGGGTTGTGTTAATTTTTAAAATTTTTATTAGTATGTGTTTGCAACCCTTAACAGCATGCACTGCGGGGGGTTGACGCATGTACATAGCACGTCTTAGTTCTTTTCGCATCCCTTTCCCTCCTCTGACTCCCTCCGTCTTTTAGTCACCTTCGTATGTGCAAAAGATGTGTCTTCCTATCTCATCTTTTATGTTGCTCTTTAAAGTATTTTCACTTTAGGTTGTCATAAGACTTTAGACTCTGGACTACTGGTGGGTCATTGCTCAGCCCCCTACAGGCCCTGACCAGGTAATTTGCCTTGTTTATTTTTCTTGTTGTGGTCCTAGGTTATTGAATCCAGGGCCTTTCCACTAAGCTGCATCCTCTTCCTGCTTTGCTTTTTTAAATATTTTTTTTTAATTTTTTGAGACAGGGTCTGCCTAGGTCATTAAATTGTCTAGATAAGATTTGAATTAGCCATCATCTTGCCTCAGCTTCCCAGAGTGCTGGGATTACAGCCCTGCAACACTATGCCCAACTAATTTGAATTCTTTGTCTCAGTTTCCGCATCTGCATGTAATACCATCTTCTGAGAATTGTGGCCTTTAGGTGATGTAATATGTAAATTTACTTCGTGATACATTAGTTGAACATTACAGAAAACAGATCAATACTGCTCTGCTCCCTTAGCTCATACATGGGGATTGTTCTTCAGCATTTTCAGTTATAATCACAAAGTTACTGCTGCTTCCTGGCAGAAATTAGAAGGCCCATGGATGACAGTATCTTTCTTCCAGTGAGACAGGCCCTTTTATTGATGAAACAACATCCTCAGAAACTTCTGCCTGTTGGTTAGGCTACCTAGTTGCACGGAGGTCCTAAAAGTCAGGTACTTTCAGCTGTGTGTACTGTAGAGTTGGGATAGTCTGGTGAGGAGGGGAGAACAGATGCTGTGTAGGTGGTTTACAGTATCTGCCGCTGTGTGTGAAGTGTGATCAATAACTGATGACTTTTATCACCTTTAATAATCATTGCATTTTCTGCCTGAATGGGTACTATTCCTCTTCTGTCAGCATAGTATCGTGCAACTTTTCCCAGTCTGGGACGGCCATAATCTCTTGACACGAAGGCATTCGGCAGCTCTCTGGAGGCTGCCAAGAGTCTCTTCTTGGCCCCCAAACTAACAAATTTGCACGTCTTCGTTGTGAGTGATACATAGCATCAAGAGCATCTTTACAGACTGTGTTTTTGGCGTGCCCTGAGGTTTTGTTTATTAAAAGGGTGAATCATTTCTATGATTATTCATGTTTTTCAAGATAATCATCGTTATAACAACTTATGAATGTTCTTAAGCTCAAATAGCATTGAGGGACATCATTTTCTTTATACTGTATCTGGTAGACCTAATGTTCCCTACAAATAAACCAGTAGTACTTCATCATTTTTGTGTGCGTATTTAAGTAACTATAAAGATGCAGCATCCTTCATTTTTTCTTTAATAACGGTCTCTCCTTAGTGAACATTATTTATTTGCTCAGTAGGATCTTTTCCTAAAGTTCATGGTGGCAGTTGCAGAACATGCTGAAACTCTGTAAACAAACCTCTGCCAGCCAGTCTTAGTTCTGCTTCCTTGAGGCTTTATGTCCCACAAAAGGTTTTACCTTAGTGTGGCTTAAACAGATTTGGACAGGAACAGTCTTTAAAAACTGTTCAGCTACTTCTGTTAAGCCAGTGCTCTACTTAATAAATATAATCATTTTTTGTAATTTGTCATTTCAGTTATTTATTACAGACTGATGTTTGCCCCCTTCCTGATGTTTTATTATAAACCTTTCAAACATGCAGTGCAGACTTTTAAAATCATTCTTGGTATTTTCTTCTCTTACAACCTAAAACAATATTTTAACTTAAAGTGATAGCTTTTAAAATATAAGCATTGGTTTGTCTCTCCTTACTGTCAGGAGCAGATCAGGGAGAGAGTTGCTCTGCTTAGCACTTCATGTTTTGTATCAGTCTGAAATAGCAGGAATTTCATAAGACCTAGTTCGGTATAGCATAGAAGGAAGTAGTGATAAAGAGACATGAGATGGAAGCTTTAATTTTCTAATTCCTGTATTAGCTCTTTATAGAATACATATTCAAGGGCCCCTTACATAAACATAAGATTTCAATAAAAAACCAAAGAGTATATGGGATCAGGGTGGGTTGGTTACTTACTTCCAAGAGAAGATTTGGATAAACGGTTGAACTGCTTCCTTATATTAATGAGTATAATCAAAAGTTCATTTTATCCTCTTGTTTTAATCTTTTCATATAATATCATCTGCTTTCAATGATATATTTAATCCAGTTGATAGAACATATTTGTTGCCAATTTGCTTTGTATTCTATGGAAGACATTTTAATTTTTTGCTTGTCTTTATATCAAATGTCAAATACTACTTTTCATAGAATTCTTGTACTTGATCACTTAATGCCTTCAGTTTTGAAATGTAAGTGTTCATTGAAAGTCTTGTCAGTTGATTTAGTCACTTTCCTTAGAATTGGTATAAATGTTATTTTACTAATGATTATCCTTCTGATTGAGTGAACCTTCTCATCTTAAAACTTTTAGCCTTATTTTTAAAATTTTCAAATACTGTTTTCAGGAATACTTGCTGTCTTTTTTTCCCAGCATTTGGTTCCTTATACCTGTCTGATACCATGAATACTGTCTATGATAATGATCCTAGAAAGAAAAGTGTATATCAGCAAATTGAGGATATGAAAATCAGTACAATATTATTGTGAATTGAAATAACATATTGTTTAAAAGAAAATTGTCTCCTCTGGCCCTATTGCCAAAGTCAGTTCTGCCTATTATTTCTGTCATGAATTGTTAGGCAAAATTACATATTCTTAACTGATAAGCTTGTTTTTTTGTTTAAGCTGCTTCCATTCTAAGATACTTCCAGTAGCAGTCACTGTAGCAATTCATTCTTTGAAATGCATATAATTTATAGAAAGGTCTGTGGCATAGCATGATACTGCAGTCCAAAATGTTTTTCTATATTGGGAGTTGCTTTGGCTCTTGTGAAACAAAAGTGTGATTCACATTTTTCAAAGGCAGATTGTGTACTGAGAACCAGTGATAAGAATCCTGCCTCTTGTCATAACTTAGAAATTTTAAAAATATGTAGCTTCAAAAACAGATGATATGTTTTAATAAGCAATATCAGTGATGTCTGTGACTGAAACTGTATGATTGAATTTCTCAGCTTTAAGATCCAGTTGAAGAACTGAGGTCTAGGTGTTAGCCAACCTTGTGTTTTAAATGTACTTTTGGCTTTACCTTAAAAATAATCTTTTAGAAAAACAATGATAGATCCTTGCCTGACTGATGGTCTTTTGAAAAATGTTGGTTTGTTGAAGTCTGCATTTCCCTTTGTGTGCTTTTTCCTTTTCTTCTGTCTCTTCTCATTCTGTAGATTCAGACCCAGGACATACAAGTGAAAATTGGGGGGAGAGACTTATATCTTCTTACAGGACATACTCAGGTAATTCAGGTGCTCCTGTTTAGCCAGTGGTTTCTGTCACATTTACAATTAAATATTGTATATAAGTAACATTTTCAAAACAGTTTATAGATGACTTTAAGTAAAAGAGAACTATGTGAGTCTGCCAGATTCTCCAGTTTGGGTTCTGAGATACTCCAGGACACTGTGTCCAACACGTGCTGTGTATTAACTGCCATAAACCTCGTGGAGGTCTGGAACAGTGCAAGGCACCATTCGTGTAGAAAACTGGAAGTTAGCCCCGCCCCTGGCCTCGCACCGTTCATCAGCCCGTCTGGGGGAAAGGTGCTCAAGGTCTTCAGTCTGCTTTGTTGTATACCCTTCAGTAAGGTGATGCTTTTATAAAAGCACATTTAAAATTTTTTCCATTGAACTCTTCCATCTTTATAGACTTTGCTGCCGAAGTTGAATTTAATGGTGTATAGATTGAAATACTAGGCTACCTGGAGAAATGCCATGACCATTAACTATGTTGAAATCTCTGTTTGGCTGTGGCTCCAGCTATCATGTGTTACCAACTCATAATGGCTCCAAATAAAAGAATGTCAAAGAGTATATAAATATTTTAAAGTGAAAAGTAGGGGAAAACTAGTTAAGTGTTTGTCTCTTTTTTAAAAAATAGGCTGACATTTTTGTCTGAACTTTGTAAAATGTAAATATTATCTAGCCCATGGCTATCTCCAAGTGTGCAGTCTTTAACCTGTTGCATTTAGCGATAAAAATTAAAATAAGCCTTCTGCTTATGGTGCCATTTTTATTTTCTAAATCTGTGGGTTGGGTGGGGTAGGGGTAAAACCAAACCAACTTTATCCTGAGAGTTTTTAATTGAGCTGTTTGGTCAGTAGTTCCTGGTTACCAAAATTGGGTGGAAGAGGCCATATTTACAGTCACTGTGCAGTCAGGCTGACCTTTAAAAGATGTTCCCTAAGCACAGTGGTATACCTGAAGGAGCCGTGTGTGATAAATCCATCTGTGACCTGAGTATCATTGCTGGAAATCAGGAACTATTGGAAATGCATGATATTTTAGAAACAGAACCTGACAAATGCATTTTCAGGATTGAGGAAAGCATACTGCAAGTATGACTGATACAACTGTATTCATCTATATTTGTGTCATAGTTCCATTGTTTACTTCCTTATGCAGTGGTTACTGTGTGAAAATAAAGAAAATATTCTTTATTTTTCAGTCACTGATATGTTTATGAATCAAGTTTTTTGAGGGGAACAGTCTTGTCTCTTCTCTATTATAATATGCCCAAACCCTAATTGGGAAGTAGCAGGTGTTGAGCCTTCTGTTTATTCTCTCCAGACCTGGAAAGAAAGCCTTAGTTTTCCAAACTCTGAAGCTGGGGCATCTCTGCATTTCTGAAGCTCCTTGGATCATGGAAGAAACTGTTGGGTTGATGGAAAGTTTATTTCAAATAATCTTAAGTGAATCTCTCAGCTTTTTTCTTAAAAAAAATTTAGGTTGGCTGAGTGAAATTTCAGGTTTGTAGTAGACAGTGCTAAATAAGCACTTTTTGCTGGGCATGGTGGCACACGCCTATAATCCCAGCACTCCTGAGGCTGAGGCGGGAGGATCGTTGTGAGTTCGAAACCAGCGTGGGCTGCAAAGTGAGCTCAAGGCCAGCCTGAACTGCATAGTGAGACCCTGTCTCAAAAAAAGGATAGATAGATAGATAGATAGATAGATAGATAGATAGATAGATAGATAGAATAAATGAATAAATAAATAAATAGGCAAGCAAACACTTTTTGTCAGTTTTAAATTCTGCTGAGCATGGTGATACATGCCTGTAATCCCAGCACTCTGGAGGCTGAGGCAAGAGGATCACTGAAAGGTCAAGGCCAGCCTGAATGACATAGTGGGACCCTGTCTGTATATCAGTCAGTCACTTTAAAGTTCTGGCCAATTATTAGGGCAAGTAAATACATTTTTTTGTTACTAAAAACAAGAGATGTTTTCAGATTATTTTTCATTATGACAGGTCAGAGGAAGTGACTTTTTCACAGGATAAACCCTAAAAATTTGTTTTAAATTTGAGAAACATGCATAGTAGCCTAACAGTTTCACAGTTTTGAAGAACATTGTAATTAATCTCAAACCTATCTCTCCAACAGTAGCTTCATTTCAGTCTTGGCTATGGTAACTCAAATTCTGAAAAAAAAAAGAATTTGTATTGGATACAAGAATCTAATTGGAATTTTTATTTAAATATTTGGATTTATCTAATTTTTTTCCAAAATGTAATCATTACATATTTGGCTATATAGCAGCATAAAATTCTGATAGTAAATTTTCAATTGTCTTTTTTAATATCCTCAGGTATATATCACTTTAGAATATAATCTTTTTAAAACACTATTAAAATGCAACTAGAGCAAAAAAAGCCAATTGTTCTGCAAATAGAAAACAGAAGGCAAAATTTTCCCTTAAATTAAAAAAAAAAATTTTAAGGATCTAAGTATTTTTTGTTTCTGCTTAATTACTAGGTTTTAGTCTTTCCTTGAAACATCTTTTGTTCTTTCCATAAAACTTTCAAATGTGAATACTTTTAGGAGAGATACATGTTTACTGTGTTTAGTTTGTTGTTCAGCTGCGTAGGGTGGCACATACCTGTAAGCCCAGCTGCTCTGGAGGTTGAGGCGGGAAAATTGCAAGTTTGAGGCCACCTTGGGCAACTCAGTGAGACCCTTCTGCAAAATAAAGTGAAAAGTGCTCGGTGTCACTGTTAGGGAGCTTGCCTAGCATCCTCATTCTGGCTTCAGCAGGGCGTGGGGTATTGTTATTCAAATGGAAGTCATTAAAATAACAATTGCTGTAATTTCTCCCTACATGCTAGAGAACCAAGACATGTAGAATATTACTAAGAGAAAGAATACACATTTCAGGAAAACTGGAGCTCTTCTAAAGACCAGTTTTAAGTTTTTTATAGTCATTGTAGTAGTAGGTTAAAATTATGCTGTGATTGGATTTACATTATATTGACTCATTAATAGACATGAAAATGAAAGCTTGTATTAGAAATACTAATTACACTGTTTTAATAAGTTGAAATTTTGGTTTACATAAAATCAAATATTCAACAGAATGCATTAGGAATTTCGAATGATCTGTGAGCAGCTGAGTTTAAATGTTAGGAACTCTAATTTTTCTGGGCCTTTCAGATGCCAATTCTAATTGACTGAAGAGACACACAATAACATTAATTCCTTTTCCTACTAATATCAGATTAGTTTCTTGAAACTTGCTAGATTAATAAATACTTATCTCTTATCCACCTGCTGGCACATCTGCCTTCTGAAAAAACCCACTAATTGACAGCAAGGCCATCCCTCTCTCTGCTCATTTGTGTAAATTTTTAAATTTGGTTTTGTTTTCAGTTCACCTTTGCAGGTACACTTACACCTGGATTTTAAAATCCCAGATATTTGTAAACAATCTCCAAGTATTTGGAAATTTCCTATATGTGCCTAGGAAGGTAATAACTGGACCTTCATTAGCCCGCAGCATCTGCATGAACACCCATATGCGCATCTTTATGTGTAGAATATAGCTCAGTCTGATTTCCTGGCACTTAATGGGAAATATTGACTGTGTTACTAGATTTCCCGAATAATAGGGTCTGAGAGCAGATCTCAAGACTGATTAGGTCTCTTGAAAAGGACCCTGATCTCTCTTAACTCACAGCCATACAAATTCTTTAAATTTGCACATTTTTCACTTTGACTAATACTCCATGTTTGGCAGTCCTGTGATGGGAATAAAATGATTTGGTGCTTTTTTCAATAACTACTCTGTATAATGAAATTTTTTTTTCTTTGTCTTTTTGATTTTTTTTTTTTTTTTTTTTCGATACTGGGAATCGAACACACGACCTCGCACTTGCCAGGCAGGCGCTGTGCCGCTGAGCTAAATCTACAGCCCTTCTTTGCCTTTTTGAGACAGGATTTCACTATGCAGTTCAGGCTGGCCTTGAACTTACTTTGCAGCCGAGGCTGGACTTGAACCCTCAGTAATCCTCCTGCCTTCACCTCCTAAGTGCTGGGATTTCGGGCGTGCGCCACCATGCCCAGCCAAAGACTTAATTTATTTAAAGTCTCTTAAAGAGACTTAGTTTCTTGAAAGATGTATAAACTATTGCCAGGATTAGAGAAGTAATGTATTTATTTATTTAGTGTTACTGGGGATTAAACTCAGGCTTCATACGTGATAGGCAAACTGTTTACTGCTGAGCCACATCCCCAAGATTGGTTTGTAAGTTTAGCAGTGATGAGAACAAAAATTAAAGTGACTGAAATGTTTCAAAGATATCATGTAGTTCACTCTGTTCATCAAGACAAGTAATCACAGGTGAAAAATACTTTTAAAAACTGTATCTGTACTAAACATGTACAGACTTCTTCCTTGTCGTTATTCCCTAAACAATCCAGTATAACTATTCATATAATATTAGCACTGTATTAGGAGTTACAAGTAATCTAGAGAAATTTACAAGTGAAGGGAAAGGCTTGCATAGGTTATAAGCAAATTTGACACCACTTTCTGCAAGGGTCTTGAGCCATCAGTAGACTTTGGGATCCCCACTGGCCCTGGAACCAGTACCTTACCAAAGGGTAACTAACTGTAATGAGGACATTTGGAATGTTTTGGAGGAAGTTAAATTTTGATAGAAGAAATTGTTGAAATACAGATTTTGCTAGAAATAAATTTCCAAGTACCTAAAAACAACAGAATTCAGGACGTATTTTTCCAAAGCATTAGGAAGGAAATTGCCTACATAAGTCTACTGCTCTTTTCTGTAGCTACTATCAGTTACATGTGGTAGACATTTTTCATGTACATGTATAGCGTCCATCAAAAAAGTTGTGTTTTGCTTATATATATATAGTTACATTGGTTTCAAATTCTTACATATTTATTAATAATTCCAGAGAAAGAAGGTCCAGAAAAGAAGAAAACAAAAAAGGAAGCTGGAAATAAGAAATCCACACCAGTGAGCATTCTTTTTGGTTATCCACTCTCTGAGCGAAAGCAGATGGCCCTTCTCATGCAGATGACCGCAAGAGACAACAGTCCAGGTGACACCTGCCGTCACTTCCCTGTGCATTCTAGGCTCCCCCCAAGCCCAAACTTGTTCTGACAATTCCTTTTAACTATTTTTAGTTTTTAACCTTTCTTGAATTTAGAATTACTTGTAACATCAGTTTTGTAATTTTATCATTATTTGTAATTTGTTTATTGTCTGTCTTCACTAGATTAGAAGCTGTATAAGAGCAGGGATCTTTGTATTTACTGGGCATTAAGTAAATATTTACTTTAAATAAATATATACTTTATATATATATAGTATATATATAAATATATACTTTAAATAAATTTTAAATAACTTTAAATATACTTTAAATAAAATGCGTAATTTAGAAATGAGCCAATAATTTGAGGAACCCTGGCAGAACTCTTACCCTTACTGAAGATTTTTCCAAATTTCTATCTGTAAGGCAGTTTTCCAGGTCTCCAGTTCACCAGTACCCTGCCAATAAACTGGTAATCTTAGCTATTGCTTCTTTCTGACTGACAGAAGATGTAAATCATTTTTGTCTGGAGAAAAAATTTTCTTTGGGCTCTTCATTCAAGGCATCTTTATATAAGACTATTGAAAAAGGAATAGTTCTCTAGTGAACTTTGCCTGGGTTAACTATATTAAATACTGATACAATATAGTGTCTAAATATTATAATTTCAATTAAAACATGATTGTATCTACTGTCTTTCATTACTAAAAACATTTTAGAACTTTTTAAAATAGAGTGTATTGTTTTGGACTCACCTTTTCTGCTAAGTTGGGACATACTATGGCCAAATTCAAGGTATTTTATGGCTAGGCAGGCCCTTGTGCCGCTGAGCTATATCCCTGGCTCTCTTTTTTGGACTGGGAATCAGACTCAGGATCTTGTGCTTGCCATTTACAGTGCTAAAACTAACAACATTAGTATAAAATATTGACTTTGAGATCAGGTTTAACTGTTAATTAGAAAGACTTTTTTAAAAACTGAATGTTTTGTACTGTAAATATTTGTCCTTAGAATAAATTCAAGAACTAACACAGTAGGAAAAAGTCCAAGTTCTCCCTCTTGGCGAGCACCCTCCCCTTGAGAGGCAGACACTGCTCAGTTTCTGATCTTTACTCCCCAGAGTTTCTAGGCATAAATGCACAGCTAGGTCTCTTTTGTTGTAGTTTTTTTCAGTAAAAATAGAGTTATAATATTCTGCAGTTGGTTCTTTACATGCAAGGATAGTTCCTACGTAACTTTGTTTATTCATGTATATAAAACTAGTTGTAAACCTTTCAGAATACCAACTTGTTGTCTTACAGATGGTGACATCTGCTGTCGTATAGATGTAGTTGAAATTCAGCGTTGTTGCATCTGTTAGATAGGTCCTTTAGTTTTGGTTTTTTTAAGAACACCAACAAAACTAATTTTCTTAACAATTTGACAACAAAGACTATAATAAAAATTTTTATTCATCCAACATGTGTTTTGAGTTCGACTGTGAATCAAGAAGTCTTCTAAGTAGTTGAGAAATGCTGTTAGGACAGGGTTCTTACCCTTATGGGGCGTACATTTCCAGAAATGAGATGGAAACTACCTCGTACTGTATCTAGTACTGTATATTTGAAACTCCAGCTCCAGCATTACACTTTTTTCCTATGGAGGAAGGTATAATATGGCTTGTATTTATTTATTTTTAAAATTGTAAACATCTAATCATATTAGTTGGTGTGACTGATGATGGAAAATTATTTTCTACAGTCTGTTTCTCTTAGAATAATTACTTCTTTCAAATGGTTATAAATCTTCAAAATTAATTAGCACTCTTTTAAAATCTTAATTGATAAGAAAACAGTTGGTTTTTGCTTATTTTCCCTAGTTCTGAAAAGATGGAGGAAACTTTGGGCATCATATATACTTTAACATTCTTGGTTTTGTTATAGAAACTAGAACAAAAATCAAAAGATAGAATCAAAACAAAGCATAATTTTCTAGGCCTTTTTCCAGCTACCACTATTTTAGGCAGATCTTTGGCTTCATTTTATCTGACCTTAGTTTGCACCTAACAGAACTCCAGTGCTTGTCTGAATCAGAGGTGTGAACTCTAACCTTCAATTTAACTTTAGCTGGGTCTTACAATAATAGTATAACATGCCCAGGAAGAATGCATGTTTTTGCAATTCATCAAATTATTACTTAAGCAAATATTTTTATGATATAAACTTGATACTTTATTATCATTTTAAACCAGTTTTATGAATTTAAAGAATGAAACTGTTTTCTAAATTGGTTTTTGATAGTGGATAGTTCTGTAGGAAAATCTGTGTTTATATCGAGTTACTAATACATCATCGCAGTAAAGTTTTGGGTTGTCAGGGTGAGAAAGTGTTTCCTATCCTGTGGAAAGAGTTTATTATCATTAAGAACCTTTAAGTAGACAAAGTATTTCACCTAGAACTTTCCTTCCTTAACTTCTTTGACAGATTCCACACCGAACCACCCATCACAGACAACACCAGCCCAAAAGAAAACTCCCAGTTCTTCATCTCGACAAAAAGATAAAGTTAATAAAAGGAATGAACGTGGTGAAACTCCTCTACACATGGCCGCTATTCGTGGTGATGTGAAACAAGTCAAAGAATTAATAAGCTTAGGGGCAAATGTGAATGTGAAAGATTTTGCAGGTAAGACTAGTAATTCAAGACTAATGTTCAGGAGCTAATATCAAAATAGGTCCTGATTATAATTTAATACATATTCTATTGTTCCTTTGCAGAAATGAAAACTCTAAAAGTATATTTTATTTCAAAAATTTTAGAGCATGTGGAGAAACTCTGATCTCCACTACTTTTCCATGTCAGTACTCCCTCAGATTTTTGCATATTAAATTTACTTTTTAGTTGACATTGTATAATTCTTTGTCTGACTTACATTGTATTCTGAACAAATTTGAGTATACAATGTTTTTAGGGTGTAACTCATTCATACGTCAATGTTTATTAACTTGAATATGAAGATTATAAGAAAGCAGTAGTAATTTTAATTTTTTAAATTGCATACTAGTACATTCTTCTTATCAGATGTTGAAACAACAATAGAAACTAACATTACAGAGAACAGTGTAGAAAGTTCCCTTAATTTCACATAATATAGTACCCCACCTTCCCATCCCTCTGCGTTTTTTCTCTCCCTCAGAAATGTTATTGATAATTTGGTGGTTAGCCTTTCAATATTTAGTTATATATAGGCTTTTTAAAAGGGAAATTACTCTATCTCTATTGGTCTATAATCCTGCAACCTACCTGTAATGTCTTACGGGCACATCTCTCACTGTATGTGGGTATGTCTGCTTCGTTTTTCACAGCTGCATAATACAGTGTAACTTTCCATAAGCAGTTCTGTAGTGAACATCATATATTTGTGGGCAGTTGTAGAACTATTCCAGTTGAATTGAAATTGTTCTGTCAGATGAGACGCATGTTTAAAATTTTTGAAATAAAAACAGACTGCTCCTCCAAAAAATCCTCTGTTTGGTTTTTACTTGCACTAAGAATACATGAAAGAGCTCAGAGCAATGACCAGGACCTCTAGTCCTAGCTACTCAAGATTGAGGCAGGAGAGCTTGGGTAGCATAGCAAGACCCTATCTGAAGAAAGGGAAAGTATATGAAGGAGCCCTTGTTCTCCTATCTTCCCTGGACTGGATATTATCAACTTAATTATCTGACAAGTTTAAATTTTATTTTAATGTGAATTCCCATAATTAGGAGTGATAGAGCGTTTCTTCTGTCAGATTGGTGCTCTTAGGTAGCGGTTTCATTGCTCCTTTTCTTCTTTCATGCGTGTGTGATTTAGAATTGATGTGGACACATAGGCTTGTATAGGAAAGCCTATCTCTTAAGGACAATTTTTTTGAGACAGAGCCTCACTTTGTAGTCCAGGCTGCCCTTGAACTCACTGTGTAGTCCAGGCTGGCCTCAAACTCACAACAGTCCTCCTGCCTCAGCCTCCCAAGTGCTGGGATTACAGGTGTGCAGTACCACGCCCAGTTGAATTAGTGCAATTTAGACTCAATTTATTTTTTTTAAATT